AGGAATGGAATAAAATATTTAAACTGTTAAATGAAAGGAACTACCAGCCTAGAACAATGTATCTAGTAAAGCTCTCCTTTAGATATGAAGGAAAAAGTAAGGCCTTTCCAGACATATAAAAATTGAGGGAATTCTCCACTACAAAGCCTGTACTACAGGAAATACTGAAAGGGGTCAGCTCACCTAAAACAAAATGACAGAAAAAAAAAAAAACCCTAATTAGGAGTAAAGTGACTATCAGGCAAATAGAAGCAGAGGAGTGCAATCCTTATTAAGAACAGGGCATTGTAAGTTTAAATAATAGAAGAGAATTGTGATAGGAAGATAGTAATGAATGTTCAGCATACGTGGGGACAAAATGAGACAACAATGACTGAAAAATAAATGCAAAAGGAGGAGGATTCAAAGATCCAAACTAGCAAAGGGGAATGGAGATAAGGCACATGCAAAAGTAAATGGATGACTGTACATATATAACTAACCTTTACATATTTGTAATGGTAACCATGCACCGAAACAAACTTCAAAATAAAAAAGGAAAAGAAAGACACCAAAGGACACTTAATGATAAAGGGAATCATGCACCAAGAAGACATAACAATTATTAATATCTATGCTCTCAATCAGGGAGCCCCAAAAGCAATTACTAACAGAACTAAGAGAGAAACACTAAAACACTATCGTAGTAGGAGACTCCACTGTCGGATATGGACAGATTATCCAAATAAAAAATCAATAAGGAAATAGCATCCTTAAATAATACATTAGACCAACGTGACATAATTGACATTTACAGAGCATTCCATCCCCAAACAGATGCTTATACATTCTTCTCTTGTGCACATGAAACATTCTCAAGTATTGACCACATATTGGGACACAGCGATAGCCTCAACAAATATAAGAAGGTTGAAATCATACCAACCATATTCTCTGATCATAATGCTTTGACACTAGAGATTAACTGCAGAAAAAAATCAGGAAGACCCACAAATGAATGGAGATTAAACAACATGCTACTAAAGAATGATTGGGTCAGAGAAGAAATAAAAAGAGAATAAGAGATACATAGAAACGAATGATAATGATAGTACAACATATCAAAACTTTTGGGACACGGCAA